AGTAAAAATATTATTCTGGTAAATATATCTTTCATAATATAGTATGCTCAATGATGGCATTCATGTCAAAAATATTTATCATCATCGTGAAATCCTATAACATAAATATAATACCTAATTCATACGAACTCGCTGCCAGCTGTCCATTGTTGCTTCTCCAGTTCATTCAAAATTAATCTTACTGAACATTCAGTAATAACTAAATATACTGTTAAAAATTGAAATAAACGTTGAAAACATTTATAATTTTGATAATTGTTGAGTATGCAAAGAACCTATTGTTGTATGAATAACTAACATAAAAGTCTTGAAGCTTTACACAATAAAAATAACATAAAACATGAATGAATATATTGTCACATAATAATATGAAACTTCTACTGTTACTTATTTTGTACGTAAGTGGCTAGGTTGGTTTAAGAACCAAACTGCTAAATTTTAAAATGAATCACCTTTGTCTTAGAAAGCTTCATATCTTTGTGTAATAGTGATACAAACTCATAAATAAAAATTAGAAACTAAATGATTTAGTGATATCAATGTTTTAAATCATTTACCTCATTATCCTTATTTTTCTGGAGAAAATTTACGTCCATGTGTGTTATAACACAAATTTGATGGAAATAGGATAAAAGTTAACATTATTAAGTTACTATATTTAATGCATTATACTCTGACTGAAGAAAAATGAATATTTTAATTGCCTACTAAAATTCATTAGTCTTCGTTTAAAATCTATATTTGTTGTTGGTTCAAATACGTGAACAATGTTGAAAGAAAATTTGGATCATAAGATTTCATCAAGTATGAAACGTAGGGCAACATGAGCTTTTACACGCCTTATAATTAATAATAATAAGAAGAAGAATATAAATGAATAACAAACTTCATATAATATAATAATAAGAAGAATAATAACAATTTTAATAATTATATTAATAATCAGTCTTGACACTTTCGCCACTGCCACCACTTAGTCCCCCTTTAGAAAGGGTCTCTGAATTTCACTGATAGTTTTACTGATCGGACACATCAGGCAGATTTCTGGTCAGGCGGTATATTTATTTTCTCTCGTTCTTCCTGGAGGGAACTGGTTTTGGTCTGGGCGCTGCTGGATTGGTAATATTTATGACCTAGGCTTTGGTTAAGCGACTGTTGGACTAGTGCTTCAACGTAGGCTGGTTTCACCCTATCAATTGAAATTTTGCCCTGTCCTTGCCTTATTTGTAATGTCATAGTTTTGTCTGTTCTATCTAACACTTTGAATGGCCCATCATACAGTCTATCCAGTTGTTTTTTGAAATAATATTTTCTAAGGAAAATGTAGTTGCAACTGCTTAGATCCTTGAACACAAATATGTTTCTTCTTCCGTGTACCCAAAAACTTTTTTATTTTCTTGACTGTGTATGGTTTTTTTTTTTTAGTTAAGGATAGTCTAAATTTTTGTGGTAGTAGTTTAGTACCTATAGTACTTATTCTATATCCCAGAAAGTCGATCTGTTCAGCTCCAAAAACACACTTGTTTACATTTAATAATAATCAAATTTGTCACTTGCAGCACAGACCAATTGTATACGCATAGTCTTACGTTTCCGAAAAATATTAATTTTTTTTGGGGGATCGTAAACATATTATCTCGAATAATATGATGGTTATATAATTGATATTATACAATTATTTTGTTATGAAACATAAAACTGTGAACGGTTAAACACATCAGAGTATACGTTTTATAATTTTCAATTTTGCATAGAAATATATAAACTTTTTTAATAATATCATTAATTAAATATACTATAGACAATAAATCAATGATTATTGATTATATTTAATTAATAAAAGATTAAGTAGAGAGAAACATTCAAAAATAATTTTCGCTTAAGCAGAAAGATTGCCTTCAAAAATTAAACCAATATTATCATAAGAGAGGACCGACCTGGGTAAATTATAGTCACCTAGGAGTTTAGTATCAAAATTGTTGTCAAGCTGTTAAGCTTGGATAAAATGTAATCAACAGTTTGATTGTTTGTGAGATAAGAAAATACTGGTTTACCAGGAGACATATTATGCAACAATAACGTAATTGATTTTTTTCATTTTATTTTAACAACTACAAATAGTTCTTCAATAGACGACAATAGTTTTATTGTGTATATAAGTATTATGTATTATGAAAGTATAATATCATAACGACACCTACACGATTACACTCACTACATTTGGAACATCTATCATTGTATCATGTTCTTTGATTTTTAAAAAACAGTGATCAAATTTTCTTTCATTTTCCAATTTATAATATGATAACTTTTGGTGCGATATAGTCGTTTTTGTTTAAATATCTTAAGAATGATCAATCGTAGCCGTATAATAGCCTTACGTTAACGAGTTATATTTATTTGTTTTCGTGGAAATGGTGAACATAATATCTTCAATATTTTCAGGTTTATTATTGATATTATACAATTATTTTGTTATGAAACATAAAATAGTGAAAAGTAAAACGCATTAATGTATGCATTTTAACATTTCAACAGATTTGTATGTGGAAACGTATACAATCACAAATGGAAATATAGTATTGAGCTTATAAATCATTTTTTCATGCTGTATCATTCCATTTGAACAGTTGGTATCTTTTTTATGATTGTGAAATTCATAAGAAAAATAAATAGTATTTCAAGAGAATAAAGCATATGTCTAACCCAAACATTTTTTGCAGACATGTGTACAATTAAAAAATGATTGGTTATAAAATAAATAATATTTTAAAGTGTTTCGAGAATGAATAAAATAACTATAAAAAATTGTAAATTATGTTATAATAAAAACTATTTTATAATGCCAATGCAATTTAAAGTCATACATAATAGTAGATAATTGCATTAAACTTATTCTTAATAAATAATAATACAACTCACGATAGTTGGGGGTGAACGATACATGATTATACTAGGAATAATATGGTTTCCGAGCCCACATATTTTCAATCTTATCTTAACATTGGTTTTTGAATCACGAACAATACCTAGTGTTTAATGTCTTCCATTTTAATGTGCTACTGTTTTTCCCCTGTACCTTTCAAATGTAAGCAACTGAAAGGCTAAACATATAAAATAGTGAATTCACTGTCAAAACCGAGTGAAACAACTGTATCGTCATCAATAGAATGTTCTCAGGCTATAATATAAATTGCATATCACATATGTACATTTGAATTGTGCAGACTGTTAGCAATAACTATAATTGGTTTAATTGAATACTATTGTGTATTTTAATGTTCGTTTAAAGTATATTGTAATATAATATATTTTGACATCATCAATCGAGCAGTATAAAATTAAATGTGTGAGTAAAAAAAAAAAAATTTGAAAAATATTTTATGAGTAGTAGTGTAAGACAGGATATCAAAACGAAAACAGCAATTAATAATGATCGAATTAAATGAAAAAAAAAATGCAATAAATTCCGTACGTGTAATTTCATATAAGGCCGCCCGGAATTCGCTGGAACGTTAATCGAACCTGCCTACCTAACGTTGGGGAACCTATCCTAACACCTATCGACTACCGTTTGAGTTGAAAACCACGACCGAATCTCGAGCAGTTAAACCGTTTTAAAGATGCGACGAATACTATATTACACGTCATTTAAGCGATACAATTTTTACGATTCGCGTGTCACGAAACCGTAAATCGCATATTAATCGTCTTTAGAGTGTTTCCGACGTATTCCTCTACATTATTTAATCGTATACGTCTAAACGACGTACCGAGTTTATCATCACATACACATATCACGATATCCCCCCAAGGTATGCGATTAAAGGCATTACAACGACTGAAGAGCAACGATTTTGCGATTTTTTTGTATATAATAAACATAATCTGACGTACGTCAACAATGGTACGCACGTTTCTTTTTTTAAATAATATTATTATATATATATATACATATAATCGTATTTCGTACGCTATCGTGACGATGAGGTCGCGGAGGCGTCCGAGGGCGGAGACACCGAAAACAAAAAAACGCGTATTCGGATACGGATAAACGATTTATCGTATCGTAAAAAAAAAGAACAGTAGTAACGATACGACGACCGACCGGTGAACGCGTTTTCCGGACGCGACGGCCGCGAACGGGACAAAAAAGACCCGCTCCGGGCCATAGCGTCGAGAACGCGACGGAAAGAGGTCTCGAAAGGCCGGAAAACCGGGCGAAAAGCGGAAAAAACGGTATATAATAAAAACAATAATAATGAGTAATGAGCAAATGAGCAATAACCGAACCGATAACGACGGTTGTTGGAGAAACGATAACGACGGGGAGATACGGGACAACGACTGGAAGAAAAAAAACGGAATTTTTCGATTGGTCGGGACACTAAACCTATCGGCCCGTGTAGCTACTATTCTTCGTTTTATATTATAAGAAGAAAGAAGAAGAAGATGAAGAAGAAGATGAGAAAGCGCATTGCGCATCAAAAGACAAGTTTCACTTGGCCGCCGTATGAATGTTTTCGTGGCACAGATAATACTGATAATTGTAATAAATTAAATTGACACCTTATACTCAAAAGGTAGTAAGCCGTAAGGTATAATATTACATGATCGACACTAGAGCCTTGCACGGGCCTAACTTTTGAAGTCCAAGCTTGTCCAAAGTACAATTTTACTAATGATACCTGGCCCGGCCCGATTTATTTCACTTAAATTTATGGATATTATCCAGCCCATCCAACACGTTTAACTTAAATATATAGCCTCAGCTATACATTCAAATGGTTAAAGACCACTGCCGTTGCCGTACAGTAAAGTAAATGTATGCATTACAATTTACGCATCTCTATTCTATGGATTCGACACTTACATTTTCTTATCAAATATTGCTTGCCAATGTACATTATCATGACTGATAGCACGAACTATATAAGATAAGATATAATAAGATTTAACTATTATCTACTATTTTTTATTTTCATAGTTGTGTGTTCTGTTTCTGTGGTTGTACAATCTATAGTTCTTACTGTTCTTAGTTCGCAATCAACTGATACAATTTAATATTATTTTTATATTTTTAATTTTCAGTTATTTAACATTAAGTAAATTACACTTGATTGGAATTTAAAATGAGTTTATCACACACTAGCAATATATTTCAAGTAAACTGTTATAGAACATATTTTGTATTTTATAGTATCCATAAATTTAGCATTCCATGTACCAAATAATATTATTTTGTTGAAAATGCAATATTTTATCACAGAAAAATAATTTGTTTACTTTCAATTAGTCTATAGAATTTAGATATTTATATAGGTTCTCCTTTAAAAGTTTATTGCCAAGGCAGTAATAAATTAAAACTTAGTCTTTTATTTTAAATCAATTGTTCATGCAAGATTCAGAATATTGTAATAATTTTGGGTTGATTCATTTTAGCACTCGAGCAAATTGTTACAATTTAGTAATTGCTCAATTTCCAAAACTGTTCGTGGATTGACTATACCAATTGTAGTAGAACAAACTGGCCGCGGAGAACGTTCTTATGATATATTTTCTAGACTTCTTAAAGAGCGTATAGTTTGTGTAATGGGAGAGGTAAGAAAATTTAAGTTATAAATAAGCTATCTTCATTTTTATGTGAATAAATGTTTTACATTGTTTAGATCAATGATCATGTGGCTTCATTGGTAATAGCTCAATTATTATTTTTACAATTTGAAAATCAAAAAGCCACTATCAATATGTATATTAATAGGTAAAATGTTTTTTTATTTAATATATAATAGGTGTTTATACATTATGTAGATATATGGCATATAAAATAAAAAAATAAAATATGAACTATAATTTTATAATTCTTGTTTAGCCCTGGTGGTAGTGTTACTGCTGGTCTAGGCATTTATGACACTATGATGTACATTAAACCAGATGTATCAACTTGGTGCATAGGACAAGCTTGTAGTATGGGAAGTATTTTATTAGCCGCCGGAGCAAAGGGCAAAAGGCATGCATTGCCTCATTCAAGGATCATGATTCATCAGCCATCTGGTGGAATGCAGGTACTTTTTATTAAAATATTCATAAATATAATTAATTATGTGTATATGAACAAAATATTTTTTTGTACTTTTTTGTGTTATTCACAAATATTTCATTAATGAAAAATAGATATATAGTGCAACATGTTTAGCACAGACAGTTATGGTACCATAGAAAGTGTTCATTAAGACACTAGACCCACATGGATTTTCTCCGTCTTACAAGTTCGTAACATAGCATATTTACGTTCAGCAGATCACATTTAACTTCGTTAGTTTAAAAATTAGAGTGAATTGACCTATTATGAAACTTAATGGTAAGTCCATTATCTGTGTTTGAATGTTAATTTTTTATGATTATTCAGTCTTTAAGTGAGTTATGAGCATTTTTAATTTATGCTATATTACATACGCATAAATTGCTAAAAAATTGAATAATCACAAAATACTAACATACAAATACAGATAATGTTCCTACTATCAAGTTTCATAATAGGTTGGTTCATTCTAATTATCAAACTAACAGAGCTAAACGTCATCTGCTGAATGTAAATTTTCTATGTTACGTACTTGTAAAACGGAGACAACATACGCATTTATGACATCCTCTTAATGAAAAGTATCCGTCTTAGATAGGTTTCACTATATATAAATTCTGTATTTAAGATCTTTTTACTTATCGGTTAAAATAGGTTTTACTGTACATCTACTTTTTTTTTTTTTTAATATTTGTGAAATGTTAAATTTAATTAAAAAATATTAATACTAAATAAGTTCTATCCATTAGTAAATAATATAATACAGTAAACTTGCTTGATTTAAGGATTTATTTATAACTTATAATACATTTATTTTGATGCAGGTTCTGTAAAATAAATAGTTAACTAGGTAGGAAGCAGTTAGAATTAGAAATATAATAAAATTCAATAGTTATACTTTAACCAACCAGTTTCAATTAATTTATATCTGAAATAATGTTATTGATAATGTCTACTCTGTGTGTGCTTAATATCAAACAACGATTTTATTGCCTGTGGTCTATCACAAGTTATGTAAACATGCTTTAATGACCTGATTACATTGAACCATCTAATATTATACATACATATAAAGTCAGGGGCGGATCCAGACATTTATCAAGGGGGAAGGGTAATAAATTGTCATACCAAGCCCCGATTGACAGTTTATCATAAATCATTTGTTTAGTGGGTAACCTAACCTAAGCTCAAGTAGGAGGGTATTTACCCTATTATCCCCCCATCCCCCCTTAGATCTGCCACCGTACAAAGTAGAATATTATTTAACTAAATATGAAGCTGCATACTTATAGTTCATCTTTTATTTGGTGATAATCAATTATTATAATTAATAATTTAAGTATAATTCATTTTTTTCAATAACTATTCTTGATAAATCACATCATGACATTTTACGCATTAAATATTTAAATACATTTCTTTAATTTAAACATTAATTATGTCATACAATAAATAAAATACTGTTAAACTTTAAACCAAGAACTTGATTTATAATACATTGTATTAATTTTAAGATTTAATGAACAAAAATTCAAAAATATAAATTGACTGCATTATAACGCTAAATTATATGTAAACTATAATATGTATTTGTGTAATTAATTATGTTTGTATACTTTAAATTATTTTGATGGGTGTAGAATTATAAATTAATTTAATCAGTTTATTAAATCTATTACAGGGAAAAGCATCAGATATGAAAATTGTAACTGATGAAATTCTAAGACTTAAATCTTCGTTGATTGACATTTATGTTAAACATACTGGAATGCCATCAGATAAAATTGGTAAGATAATTTAACTTATTAATTATTTATTCTAAGTATTTAGTTAAATACACTTTTTTTTTCTATAAATGTTTATAGAAAATTGAAAATTGATAATCAGATTCCTCATCAATAGTTCTTATTTAAATTCAAAAATCTTAAAAAGTATTCAAGCTTAACTTTTATTTTGTAGATGTTTAAAGTTCAAATTCGGACAAAATAGGATATTTAGTCAAAAATATTAATTTTAATTACTTTGTTGTAATTTTAAAATATTTACTTTAGAAACTAGAGATTTATATTTATTATTACATTTTAAAATACACATAGCAAATTAAAAATATTTGAATTAAATTTAAGTTATTTCCTTTTATTTTACTGATTTGTTCAAACTGTTTTACAATAAGTTTGTATTGATTTAAAAGTGAATAAAATAAATGTGATGATTTCGGCATAATTTAATTCATAGATAAACTGCTTAGAATAATTTTTTTTTTTAATTTGGTATTAATTAGTTGTTATAGCTATATTATAGAGTAACAGACAGTATATCTTTCACAAGCATGAGTAAAAAGAGATAAAATAAAGAAATAAGCCTGTACAATTGAAATATTAAATATTAACTTATAATAACATAATAAAATGTGTTTATATTTTTTTAGATGCTAGTATGGAATCAGATCATTTTATGAGTGCTGATGAAGCTGTTACTTTTGGATTGATTGACAAAGTTGAACAACCATCAATAAATTGATCTAATGTACTAGTGTATTTTTCTATATATTCTGTCCGTGTTAATATCGTATACCAATTTATTGTATTTAAATATCAAAAATATCAATATTAAATTATTGTGATTGTTCTTTTGAATTAGGCTGACTTGTTCATTATATATAAAAGAAAATTTAGATTACCAGGGAATATTATTAAATATTGAAAGTAATTTCTCAAAAAGCTATTGGTTGTATTATATATTTGTATATTATGTAATATTATAAATTTTTAAATAAACAAAAAAAAAATTTAATTATTCATTAGACATTTAATCAATTTTTTTTTTTTAATGAAACTCTTTTTACTTAAAGGAACTATGAAATAAAATACTGATAAATTCTAGATGTCTAATTTTGTCTACAATATTTAAATTAATAAAAGTGGGAGTTTATTCTGAAGTTAATTGGCTTCCATCCAAGAGTGGGAATATATGTGTCTATATTTAGATCCAGATATACTAAAGAGTGTATCCCTAAAGGTTATAAAATTTGTGGAAACCAAAATTGTTTAAATGTGTAGTTTCATTGGTTTACTAAAAAAGTAAATATTCTAAGTATGAATATTTGTATAAATGTATGTACATTTCTTGTTGCAGTTTTATTTGTTATATATGCTATAGATATTCAAGATGATAAAAAGAACAGTTTGGAAGACATTTTGTAAGTAACACTTATAAATATATTTTTTTCTGCTTTATGTAAAAATTTAATGATTTTGCTTTTTAAATTTAATTTAGGGTGGCAAATTGGGCTGAAACATTTGGCAAAGAATTATGGTATCTAGGACAAAATATAACTAAATCTGATGAAATTCGATTGGTATATACTAGATGATAATATTAATTGTGTTATTTATTATATGTATATAACATTTATAAATTATAGTCTAAATTGTTTAGCGTTACAAAAAATTGAATGAAACACATGTGTTTAGAACAAACGTCAGTCAACTTTTACAAAATATATCAACAGCAATGAATCGTATGATAAGATTGAAAATGACAGCAGTATCTGTAAATAAATTTAATGCTATATTATGATTAAATTATATTGCTATATTAAGTTATAAAATAAATTTTTAGTGTCTTATGGATGCAGCAGAACGTGAATCTGAAAAATTTGAATGGAAATTCTATGGAGAAAATGGCATTACGAACTACACTTATTTTAATGCTAAGTATTCACCAGTTGTAGGTAGTAACGATTCTTATGATGAAGACCGAAAACCAGAAAATATATCTTTGGATTTGGGAAAAACTATTATTCAATTAGAATTCAAAACAATGAACCTTACTAAAAATGATCATTTTTATGGATTATTTGTTAATACTGATTACAGTGCAGTTTATTTACCAACAATATTATTTGAAAAACGTGTGTGTTCTTAAAATTGTTTTTATGTTCCTGTATCTTAATTAAAAGTATTTTCAGTTAATCATGTCCAAATACCTTTACAATGGTCTGAAAAATTGGATAAAGTGTTTTTACAAAATTATCGCAGTGATCCATCTCTTTCTTGGCAATATTTTGGAAGTACAGCTGGATTTATGCGTCATTACCCTGGTAAAATTATATTAAAGCTTTAATTATTAAGAACTAATGAACCATACTGATGCATAAGTATGAATTTTTATTTTATAATATTATAAAATCGATAGTCATAGGCGCCAATAGTTTTTGAAGTTTGGGGGGGCTAAAGTCAAAATCCATCCCAAATACCTGAAAATATTATTGATTATAATATTGACTGACAGACGATAAGACAATATTCATTAATATTTGGAAGGCTATACAGAATTTAAGGGGGCTCAGCTCCTCGGCCTGCTATTTGCGCCTATGTTGATAGTATGAGAAATGAAAGTACTGGATATATTTTTTCCACGCGATCAGTTCATCATAAATTCAGCAATGAAACATTAACGAGTAATATGATTAAATTTTTAGCCATAAGATGGTCAGCTAAACCTAGTGTATTTGACACTCGTCTCCGACCATGGTACATTCAAGCTGCAACTTGTTCAAAGGATGTAGTGATTTTATTAGATATTTCTGGTTCCATGAATGGCATGCATCAATCAATTTCTCAGCTTGTAATTAAATCTCTATTGAAAACATTCAATAATGATGATTCAATTAATATTATTTTTTTCAATACTGTTTTTACTTACTTAGTAACTTGCTTTAAAGAAATATTAGTTCAGGTAAGAATAATCAAAATTATTATTTAAGCTGATTAGTTTATTTTACTTTTTATATTGTAGGCTACTCCTGAAAACCTTTACACATTTCATAAAGCTATAATTGAAGATCCAAGATTATTACCATCTTCTACAGCAAATTACAGCAAGGCATTTATTGAAGCTTTTCAACTTTTGTCTAATGTAGGTAGTATTTGAATTACATTAAATACCTATTAAATACTTAAAAGCAATACAAGAAATACAGAAAATTATTTATTTTTTTACAAAATTTTAAGGTGACATTGCTTTTTAAAAAGAGTATTTTGGGGTTTTACTATATGACTTTCACTCAGTATGTACAATTTTAGTTTGTATTCATTTATTTTAGAATAAAAAAAGCTACAGGTGTTCTGAAGAAACATGTAATCAAATGATTATGTTGATCACGGATGATGATCCTAATGAAGAACTTTTTAATGTCATACAAAAGGAGAATCGCATTAAAAATAATACATTTACAAATATACCAGTTCGCATATTCACCTACATGATTGGTCGTGATATTACTAATACACCTGAACTTGAGCGACTCGCTTGTGAAAATAGAGGTTTATATTAACATTATATTAATTCAATTTTAATTATACTTATTCTAAAATAGTGTTTATACAAAAGAAATGCAATGTTTAAACAATATATGTTATTTTATGTTTTTAGGTAGCTTTGCACATGTACATTCAAAAGATGAAGTACTTGAAAGTGTATTGAAATACATTGCTGTTTTAGCAAGACCTCTAGTGTTACAAGCTGAAAAACATCCTGTTACATGGTCGCATACATTTATGGACATTTCTGTAAGTGAAAACTAATGTTTGTGCAATATAAGTTAATAGCTGTATTACTAAAGTTCTAGTTTATAGTCATAATTAATGTTAAGAGCATTTTGTTAGGATCCATATGTAACAAGTGCATTAAAAAATTCAATGGAATTTGATAAGCAGATGAGTGATCTCGCTGCTAATTTGAATGAACAAAAACAATTCCCTAACCAACATAAAATGGATTCTAAATATTTGATATTGAATTCTGAGGTAACTCGTCTTTATCAGTATTTATCCAATCCAAAATCCTAAATATTAAACTAGGTAGTTTCAATCCTCTGAAATAAACAAAATAATAAGAATTAATAGTCAATGTATACTCTAACCGTTAATGTTGGTATATTATGTATAAATACACCTTCAGAAATATTACCTAGCGTGAAACCCAAAGTTGTTACCCCTTTTATTATAGTATTGGCTTTACATTTTAATTTTATTAAGTACCTTATAATATTCTAACATTGTTGTTTAGAGTTTAAATGAGGATGGAGTTTATCAAGAATATAGACCAATGACTGCAATTTCCATACCAATATTTAATAAAAAAAGAGACGAAAATAATAAGGTTAGTTTAATTTATTTATTTTTAGTTTTAAACTGTAATATAGTATTAATTACATTTTAATTCACAATAATCATACTACTCACTAAGTAAGTATTTATAATGAAGTTATATTATCAAAAAAAAAAAAATTATTTATTTTATTTTAGACTAGAGTTAAAGGAGATTTACTCGGTGTTGCTGGAACTGATGTACCAATTGCTGAATTTGAAAAACTAACACTTCCTTACAAAGTATGCATAATTGTAGCATAAATTATATTTATAAAAATTATTAATGTAAAGCTATTTTATAAGGGTTTCTTATTCAAATTAACTTTTAAATGGTACCTCATAAGTACTATTGTTATTACTTGGTAGTTACTCAATTATTAAGTTATACAGATAAAATAATTTGTGAGGAATAGAACTAAGAATGCTACTGTATACAAATACAGAATAAATACTACATTTTTATCATAATAGAGTAATTAATAATATAATAATAATATTATAATAATTAATTAGTAATTTTTCAAATGGTTTGTTTTCTTACATTTTTGGCTATATAAATATATATTTTTGAAATTTTAGATTGGTGTAAACGGCTATGCGTTTGTTGTTACAAATAATGGATATGTGCTTTTTCATCCAAAGTTAAGACCTGTTGTAAGTAAAAATATTCAATAAAGATTTTTTTTTTACCTCAAATTTATTTTTTCAACAAAATATGATTTAAAGGAAGATGGTATTCTTAAAGATAATCACAATAGTATTGATTTAACTGAATTGGAAATGTTGGATGATAATAATGAAGAACCAAGACAGCCACATCAAGCTATGGTTCAAGTATGAAGTAATACTATTCATTTGAATACATGCAATAATTGTATATTGTTATTTAAGTAGTTACGGGAAGCAATTGTTAATCACAAGCGTGGATCTATGGAAAATTTGAGTATTAAGTTTCACTATGACAATATGGTATAGTAATTAATTAATAATAAATTATAAATACAGATTTAAAATATTTAAAATAAATTAAAATACTTATTTATTTAGAGACGAGTTGGGTCTGAAGTTCGTAATTATCATTATACTGCTTTAGATCCAAAAATAGAAGGTCCTTTTACACTTGGTTTAGTATTACCTGCATCTTATGGTAACAATTGGATTAAAGCTGGTGATGAAATCAATAAATCAATAGAAAAAGGCAAATATTATAATATTTTAAGAATGTTTAAAAAATGTATTTATAGTTAAAATGTAATTATTTATAAATAATATATTTTAGATGAACAATTTGATAAATATTTTCAAGATAAATGGAAAATTCATCCAAACTGGTAATATAATTTTGATATTATGTGCTCTTTTCAATTTTAAATGAACATAATTTATAAATGTTCACTGTATAAACATTTCAGGGTGTATTGTGATTATTTTCATTCATCAGAGCGAAAATTTGAAAATCCTGAAGATAAATTGCTTCATTTTATGGAAAAAATATTTTCTCCAGATTGGGAATGGAAAGAGCAATATCCAGATTCAAATTTCGAAAATATTTCAATGGATGATTTCGACA